TGCAGGACCAGCTGCTGTGTTCTGTCTAAAGAAAACTAACTATACACTGTAAGACCAACTATACACTGTAAGACCACTGTAAGACATGCATGTCAAATAATTATTTATCATTAATTAAAATAGAACAATACATAATATAAAATTGTTTGAAAACAAAAACAGAAATGAGCCAAAATCATTATGGTTCCTCTTTAAAGGTAAGGGCTACCCTTACCTTAGTGTCGATAGTACAATTTGTCTACTATATTAAAACAAACAAAAAAAACCCAGTATCCTAACTTACAAGTCCAAAGGGACCTTTGGAGTCATACCTGGACACACATTAGTGCACTGACAAATGTAGTCAGATAGATAGGAACCCAGATGGCATACACAAGCTACCAGAAGGAGATGCAAGTGGGGACCCTTTGATATTCCATATTAAGGGGTTACAATAATCCAACCAGGACGGGGTACCTTGAGTTTTCAGCCAACTATAATAAAGTCCCTGACTACAAGACCTTAAACCGCCCCCCACTCACTGTATTCAAAAGTGTTTACTTGAATTCCTCCTTCGAACATTTAAATCAAGCCCGGCTGCACACAGCTGAAGTGTTGGAGGAACATTTGTCTCGCCTCAATGGTTATGTAGAAGCACAAAGGTAAAATAACTTGGTCCGGCTGACTTGCAGCTCACCTTCCCAGATCCCAGAAATGAAAAAACAACTGGATACTCTAGGTGCCCATATGTCGAGATAAAGAGCCAATTCTATAAACTATGATGTGGGCATTATTACCCCCGAGAGTCAGACGGGGGTCGGAAAAGAACCTTAGACAGGATTTAATTGATGTGCTTGTCCCCATAAGGACACTTCCACCTCTTTTCCTTTTCTGGTGACAACTCTAAAATGTGAAATATCCTCTCACTTTCTGTCCAACGCTGACAACAGGCTCCAAGACACAAAGGTAGAAAGCTTCTCCCAAACAGGGACAGCACTAAAAGCATGACAAATGTTCTAACCCTTCCCCGCTCCATTTAAAATTAGAGAAAAGTTTTCACCAAAGTTCCACTTTAATGTTTGGAACACAGGGATTTGAGAAGGAAGATGTGTAGATCAAAAGGTAAAGGCCTACAATGGACTGTAGAAAGAAGATAGGTCCTACAATGGAACGCAAAGGCAGATCTGTAGAGAGAAGATTGACCCTACAATTGGAAGACCTATAGAGAGAAGATAGGTCCTACAATGGACCCCAAAAGGTGTGATTCTCTGTTTGCCTTTCCTGGTTCCTCATTTCTGCCCTAATGCAAGCCCTGATGCAAGCAGTATCAAATATTAAAATGCCTTGATGGGTGGGTGTCAGTTTGAAGGAGTGGGTGCTCCTAGGCAGACTACATTTGCATGAAAACCGCCCTAGTTAACGCTCACATGTGATGTTGAGCCTCCAAGATTTAAAGGACTGAAATCCAATGATTAAAGTGCCAGGCCAGGGACAGTCAGACTCGGGAGATGATGAGTAAACAATCTTGGTCCAGGAGAGGAGCCAGTACAACTGTGCAAGACTGAAGGGAAGGCCGGAGTTTAGCTTTAAATGTTTCTATGGAAAGTGGTTACTTTGCTATGATATAGGAAGCTGTGATAATGTGATCAGGCAAAAAGGCATATACAAAAAGAAAGTTCATTATTTAGCTGGCAGACTGGCTGAGCTCTCATTCGGTTACAACAGATGACAGATCTGTCTGATACCATCCCACATTCAGTCTGGGGCGATTTTCACTACAATTGACTGTGGCACAGCGCCCAGTATTCCTACACACTATGACCTGGTCAGCACACACTGTTCATACCTCCGCATTCCTTCACACTCGACGGATTAACGCATTGTTTCCAATATTACATTGTAAAAGGTATGCAGGCAAAAAAAACTAAAAACTAGTACATTACAGAACATTTACACCTACCTAGCAAATTTGTTCAACTTGTAAGCTACAGCAGTGTCGTCGTTAAAGCCCAATTGAAGCCTTG